GGTCAGGCATCCAGAAGGGAGTGGCCTGGAGGGGGGGGAGGTTCACCAGGAAAAGCACGGGGGTGGGAGGGATCCCGGTGGCTTGGAGCTGGACGGGGGCAGGGGAGGGATAGAACCTGGTCCCCACACACTCCCTGAGGGCCTCTGGTTGGTCCCTGGGGGATGGGCTCAGGAGGGCCCACAACCCTGCCACCATCAGGAGAGCTCTGAGGAGCACAGGCCTGCCCAGCTCCCACTGTCCACTCGACCAAGGGTCACCCGAGTTGTGAGTGTAAGAGCCTTGCTACTGTCCTCACCTCAATTCACTGAGCATCACCCCCAGCCTTTGTCTCCACTAGGCTACCTGCCTGTGATGCTCCCATCTCTGCAGGAGGTGGGAGCCTGAGCAGCTCAAGCTGGGCTTGCAGCTCCACCAGACTGGGGGCGGGGCGGGGGGGGGGGCTGCAACCCCTGGCCCCTCCTTACGGCTGGGAGCTGGGTCTGCTCACCCTCATGCCAGAACTGGTGCCACTTCTCACTGGGTATGTGGCAAATCCCTTCCTTCCTCTCAGCCCTGGCTGCTCGGTGGGCACAATAACCCCATTTGGCTTAAAAGGTCATTCTGGATGATTCCATCTCTCATTCTTGGTGGGCGCACTGAGAGACAGGGGGAGGGCTTCAGCACCCCAGTAAGCTCCTCTTCTTCCCTCCCACTCTGTATGAGGGGGCAAACCCGGGGCAGGGTTCTGCAGCTGGCCCCACCTAGGTCTGTGGTCTGGAAGTAGGGGACTGGTTTGGGGGAACCCATATGGCTCTGGCACACACAGCCCCAGACCCAGATTCCGCCTACTCAGTGCATCCCTGTGAGGGCCTACAGTGTCCCCTCCGGAATCCAGGCCCTTTCCAGCAGCCCCTGACTAGTCTCCATGGATCCAACAGAGCCCAGGCTGCTGAAGGAAACCAGGATGCCCCCCAAGATGAGAAGTGGGTGTGAGGGGTGATTAAGCAACATGGCCTGAGGATCTCCATGGGAGAAGGGGAGAAGGTTTGACTAGATTAAACTCAACAAGCACCTGCTAGCTGGTATCTGATTCTGTCCATTTCTCAGATGAGGAAACTGAGGCTCAGACCCTGCCCAGAATCCGTCAGTGTTGCAGCCCAGGTGAGTCCCCGGTCTCTAATCTAAGCTCTCTGCTGGGATGACTTTTCCAGGGGGTGGGGTGGGGCAGGAACAGGCTCTGAGAGGTGTGGAGGCCCCGCTGCAGTTCAAGTTAGATTTTTACCATCCCCTCCAGACCTCCAGACCCTGTCCACTGCTCTGCCCACACACTGCCAACCCTGATGTCCACCATCACTGCAGGGCCCCCATCAGCAACTTGGTTCCAGAAATGGCTCCCTCCCTACATCCGTTCCTCCCATGCTGGCCTCTGTCATCCCTCAGCGGCTCTGGGCTCTGGATTCACCAGTGGGCCAAGGAGGGGAAGGCGAGGGCCCTTCTTTCAATTGCCTCCATCTGATATTTTATTTTATACATATTTTTTCTGATTAGTTACAAAAAATATATTTTTTTCTCCGGAGTTGCAATTTAAACAATATTTGAAGCCCGCCGAAGCGATCGACCCGGCAACGGTGATGAATTAGAGACGGTAATTCGAATTCATCGACCGCCCCGCCCCTGCCCAGGAGCTTGCTGCCCCTCCCCCAGCCCCTCTCCCATAATTACTGTTGGAGACGGAGCAGGGAGGGCTTCGAAGAGGAGGCAGCAGAGAAGCTGCCGGAAATCGTAGGACCCTGGGATGGGAGGGGGGGTGAGGCCCCCATGGCAGTGGGTTTGGGGGTGCTGTAGGACTGGCCTTGCCGGGACTAGGGGGTCCTAAGATCTAAGAATGTCAGACCAGAACCTGGCTCCCCTAATGCACACACTTTACAGATGGGTAAACTGAGGCACGCAGAAAAGGCAGGCAGGGGGTGGAGTAGCGGGGGGTGGGGGTGGGGGTCCTGAGGTCTACCTGGTCAGATTCCTCGGGTGCCTTCAGAAACAAAGAAACCACCCTCCCCTCTCGGCTCCTGATGCGGGAGAGAGAGAGGAGGGAGGGTGGGGGCAGAGCCCCAGGCCCTGTGGACCCGCAACCCCGGACCCTCATACTCTCATCTCCCTTTTCTGGATCTCTCTCTCTTTCTCTCCGCCCCACTCCCGCTCTTGGTCTTTCTCTTTTGGTCTCTCCAGTTCTGCCTCTTCTTGTTCTTTCTTTGTTTTTGTCACTCCGCTTCTCCTACCTCTCTGTCTCTCTCTGTGTGTGTGTCTCTGCATGTGTCTGGTCTCCTTGCCTCCTGGCCGCAGTATCGGAATCGGACACCCGGACGCGACGGCCCTGAGCCGGGCAGGCGCGCGGGCCAGGCTGGGCGCAAAGCTCTTGATTCTCGGGGCCAGGAGGCCGCGGGGAGGGCGAGCAGCTTTCGCTTGGCCCGGGACGGGAAGAGGAAGGGCGTTCTCCCTGCCGGGGTTTGAATGTGCGGAGGAGGAGCGGGTGGGGGCCCCTGGAGGCGGCTGGGGCTGCCCCCTGCGGGGCTGCACCTCCAGGAGGGGCGTGCGCCCCGTCCCCTCCCTCTAACTGCCAGGTTTGCCGCCACTTAACCGCTTTCCATTTGCCCAGCGACCGGAACTAAAGGCCTCTGTGCGGGCCGGCGCTAATTACCCCAAGCCCTCCGCCACCTCCAACACCCCGGCCCGCGCCGCCGTGTAGACGCGGCCCCAAGGGCGCCCGAGGTGCCGCAGGTCCCGAGGGCCCAGGCGTGCGGACCGGGAGGGGGGGTCCCCGCGCGGGCGAGGCGGGAGGAGTGAGGGGCACTCCCGGCTGACGGTTCATTATCCCCACCGCCCAGCGCGGCCGGCCCTGCGCTCACCCTGTCCGCTTCCCTCAGGCGCCCTATTCTGACTCTTCTTTCCCCAAAGCGGAAACCCAGGCTCAGAGGGGCGAGGCGGCTGCTGGAGCTGCCTCGTCAGGGAGGCTGGCCCGCGGCCTGGGTTCCCGCATCTGTAATTACACGGGCGGCGGGAAGGTAGCCCAGACTTCGAGTCAGGACACCGGCCACTATTTTTCCCCCCCAACCCCCCTCAGCAGGGGCACCCTCTACAGGACTTTCCCACCGGCGCTTTGTCCTTCTGAGGGCCTGGGCTATCTTTTGGGCCGCCCGAAATATGAGACTGAGATACCGCTAATGGGCCATGGTAGTTACCTAAGGTGACAGTGAGACGAATGGAAAGCGGCCTGTGTCCTTTGGGATGCACCCATGTTGAACACCATGCGCTGGGGAGGAGGTGGAAGGTGGCCAGTATGGCAATGCCAGGCCCCACGTGTTGCCCATTTAACAAGTGCCCCTTAGTAGCTAATGCATTTGGGAGATACCTGTGGCCAGAGCATGGGGGGTGGGGGGTGCGTGTGTGCTCGCTCTGCTGCCTGATGTCACCTACTCTGTACACAGCAGGCTGTGGCTGTGTTAATATGACTGAGCGTCCCCTTCAAATACCGCCCCCCCCCACTGCATGTGTCACGGGGAGCAAGGCAGAGCCGGTGCTGCCCTTACACAAAATTGTCCAGGTTCCTGAGACCACGTCTAACATGTCACAATACATAGGAGGGTTGATTTCCCCACTCCCCAAAGTGGAGCATCTAGAGGGCCCACAGGCGGCTCAGCTAGTCACCTCGCGCTGCAGGGGGGGAAACGAAGGCTCCGGTGTGGGTGCAGACTCCCCAGTTGCCCAGTATGCCTGCGGGGGGGGGGGGAGGAATGAACATGGGCCTCCTCTTCCCAGCCCCCCTGTCTGGGAGGGGCACAGCCAAGGCCTCCCTCCCTGCTTGAGGGGTGCCTAGTGTCAGCCCTAGCCCCTGCCATCCAGCCCCGCTCGCCCCTGTGCTCAGAGAAGCCATCGATCCAGCAGCCTCGCTGCTATTGTCCCAGTAGCTGGAGCGTCTGCAGCCCCCTCCCCAGTGTGGCCAGGGGAAGACCACCGCTCACAGGCCAGGCCCCTGGAAATGACAGTGGGGGTGCTTTCCTGCACCCCCACATACACCCAAGAGAAGGAGGCTTGGTCAGGCCACCTCTCTGGGGACAGGTGTGGACCCAGCTGTTATCAGCTGGGAGGGAGGAGGGAGTGGGGTCCCCAGGGGTGGCTGGGGGCTGAGTGAGACAGACACAGAGGCTGAGAGACAAAAAGAGTGACAGAGAGGAGAAAGAATGAGGAGGAACGGGAGAGAAACGGCGAACAAGCAAAAAATAAATAGATATCAGGTTGTGCCGACAGAGAAGGTAGAAATGAGAGAAACATAAAACAAAAACAAGAAAGCAAGGCGGGCAGGGGAGTGTGCACCCAGGCCAAGAGCAAACGCTGCTCCAGCCGGCGACAAGCAGGGTGTGAAGGCCTCTCTCTGGACCGCAGGACGAGGGTTCCCCGGGCCTCCCCTCCCCCGCCGGTTCTCCTGTGACCTTTGCCAGCGGCCGGAGATGGGGAGGGGGCTATCGATCGCAGAGGCTGAACCACAAAGATGCGCGCGCTGGGGCCAGGGGCTGAGCACCAGCCTGGCCCCGGCCGCCAGCGCGCCCTCACCCAGCGTGCAGCCTGAGCTCTCCGCCCCAGGGCTGGAGGCACAGCAGGGCCTGTTCGGGAAGAGGAGAGTGGCACCCCGAACTGACAGCCATGCGTGTCGGGGGCACAGCACCCTTATCCCCACATACACACAATAATCGACCCTGCAGGATGCTTCAGGGAGCCTCGCTTCCCGGACGGGCTGGGCGGATGACTATGGGAGGACGGGGGGAGGCGGCACAACCCCTTTCTCCCTTTTGGCGACGGTGCAGACGGGCAGGGGCGCAGATCACGCTCTAACCTCTTGCCAGGGAGCCCCGAGCTGGCCTGAGGGGTGTACGGCCGGGACGTGGGGAGGGAGGCGGCGGCGGCTGCTTGGTTCTGGGGAGCCCCGAGCCAGCGTCCCGGGGCCGGGCGGTGTGCGCCGTGCTCCTACCTGCGAGGCGCAGCGCCGACATGCGCTGGAACTCGGGCTCCTGCAGCCACTTCCACATCCTGCGGAAGGTCTCGCGGCCGGACTTGAGCTTGCTCCACGGCTTGGGGTTGCGCAGCAGGTCAGAGAGCGTGCCCTGCGAGCGGCACAGGATGCGCTGCGCGAAGATGGCTTGCGGGATGCTGTAGCGTTTCAGCTCCGCCGTGATGCGCTGCGCCACCTCCTTGGTGTTGATCTCCTCGGCCGCCGCGCCAGCCCCAGGGCCGCCGCCGCCGCCTGGGCCGCCGCCGCCCGCGTGCGGACCGTGCGCCCCGGCCGCCGCCAGCCCGCCCAGCGGCGCCAGCAGCCCAGCGGAGCCCCCGCCGCCAGCGCCGCCGCCGCCGCCGCCTCCCGGCAGCCCGCGGGCCAGCGCGTCCTCGGCGCGCCCCAGCAGCGCGGCGTGCGGTTCGAAGGCGGCGGGCGGCAGCAGCTTGTCCCCGGCCAGGTGACTCGGAGCGCCGTAAGCGGCCAGCGGTGGGGGCGGCGGCGGCGGCTGGGGCTGCGGGGCCCCGTGCAGAGCGGGCGGCAGCGGGTTGGGCAGAGGCGACAGCGGCGACCCCATGGCGGGCAGCTCTTTGCCGTAGGGCCCGTAGAGGTGGCCCACGGAGGCGAGCGCAGCGCGCTCGTCGCGCATGAGGGTGAAGCTGCCGCTCACGCTGGCAGCCAAGCGCTGCGGCGGGGGCGGCGGGGGCGGCGCGGCCGCCGGGTGCGGATGCGCGTGGGGGTGGCCGCCGTGAGCCCCGGCTACGGCCGCGGCCGCCGCGTGCTGGTGGAACTTGTCCGCCACGGCCGCGAGCGGCGGCAGGTGCTGCAGGGGCGTGAGCGTCGTGTAGGTGCCGCCCAGGCCGGGCGCCTCGCAGGCCATGCCCATGGCCGGGTGCAGCGGGCCCGCCAGCTCCCCGCGGAAGTCGGCGCCGCCGCTCGCGCTACCCGCGCCGCCCGCGCCCCCGGCACCACCGCCGCCGCCGCCGTCCAGCAGGCTCGCCATGCCCGCTACCAGCCCCGGGCGCCCGGGTGCCACCAGACCGCGGTGCTGCGTTGCCGCCGAGCGCGCGTGGCCCGGGCTCAGCAGCTCGCCCGCCTGCGCGTGGGCCACGCCGTGCAGGCCCCCGAGGCTCTCCAGGCTTAGCTCCATGCTGGGCCGCCCGCCCGCCCGCCGCGCGCTCTCCTCAGCGCCGGCCCGGCGCGCTCAAGACCGCTGCATGGCCCCCGCCTGCTCCCCGGTGGCTGCGCGCGAGGCTGCCTGGCTGCGCGGCGCAGGGCCCGGCCTGGCTGCGAGCGCGGCCACCAGGATGTGGCGGGGGATCGGCGGCCGGCAGCCGGGCCCGGGTCTGACGTCAGCGCCCCCGCCCACCCACTCCCCTCGCCGCCGCCTCCCGCCACCTTGCTCTCCGCCCTCCCGGGTCCCCTCGAGCGTCAGGCAGGCCAGAGTGGGCCTTCTGGGGTCCCCTGCTTCTGCGCGGCCTCCTGGGGGCCGGACTTACCGGGGACAACGGGGGGGTGGTGCTGGGGACAGACTCTAGCGAGTTGGGGCTGGGGCCTCCTCTCCGGGTCTCTGATGCCGTGTCCCTCCCCAGAGGGTCCGGAAGAATACTTTCCTGCCAAGCACGCCTGAGTCCATCGCAAGGGAGTGTGGTGGGGCTGTGGCTGATAGGTGCCTAAGGTCCCTTGTTCCCCCACAGCACGCACACCGACCCCAGGAGGCGGATCCCCCGCAAGTTCAGCTCCCTCTATCCACACCTGCGCGCAGGGAGCCACGGCCTCGCACACTCTCTCTGGGGAGCAGCCGTGAGGAGAGCAGGGTCCTCAGATCGGTTCAGGCCTGTTTGCTGGAATGCATGGATCTGCTCCTGATTGTGGGCACCTGGCCCTCAGTTTCCTCAGCTGTACAATGGAGAACCTGGCCTCGGGGTGCTAAAGTCCCCTCCCGATTCCAGGTCCTTCTACTGTACTTGCTTCCTCAGGGTGGGAGTGGCTTGGGGCTCACCCCTAAGAGCCCCTGTCCTCCAGCACAGGCCAGTGGAGGATGCATCTCCTTCCTGCTTCCTCACCCACCCTGCTTCAAGCACCCCCTTCCCCGGGGTTTCTCTTTTGGGTTGCGGGAGCGAAGACCCTCCTATTCCTCACCACTTGGAGATAGGTGAGGCCCAGGGCCCCCAGGGACTGGGCGAAACCAGGGGCCTCACACATTCAAAGACACTCACAGGTGATCCCTCCAGTGGGATCAGATGCAGGTCAGAAGGGGGGTCTGGAGCGGCCAGACCAGACCCCAAAGGATGCTCCCATCTCAAGGCCAGAGTCTTAGGTGGGGAGGGAACCCTCAAACCAGCCCACTCCCCACTTCCCCATTACATCTGCCCCCAGGGGGACCTTTGCTCATTTTCGAGAAGAGGGGAGGGATGGTAAAGCTATTAATGCCTCTGCTGGAATCCCCCAGGCTCCCCACCCCCACCTTCAATGGGATCCCCCACCCCTGTAGAGGCTACACCTTGGGGACTTGATTGTTGGCACTGCACGTCTGTGCAGGGCCCTTTCTGTGTCTGTTTCCTTTCCCTGCTTGCCCCAGTCGAGAGCAGGACACCAAAATGAGGACCTTCTCTGTGGTCCAGGGAGTCAGAAGGCCAGGTGAGCCGGCCCCTGCAGGGGAGGTGAGGTGTTGGGGGTGGGGGGCGAGAAACCAGACAATAGAGTGGTCAGATCCAAGTCCTGGGGTGGGGCAGGGCTACGCTCCTGCTTAGTGCTGAGGACTCAGCAGGTAGTGGCTGCCTGTTTCCCAGGCACACAGGCTCTCCTCCCCCAGCCTGGAGGGGGAGTCAAATCCTCTCCTGTCTCAGGACCAAGGCAGAACTGGTGGTGGGAGGGGGATGGGAGGGTTCCCCCTTGGTTCCCATGTTGTGTCCAAGTGGGACACTGGCCCCAGGTCATGGGCATTTCAAATTCATGATTTGGATACAACTTCAGGTTATTTGTCATTGCACCCATCTTCCAGGTGGGAAAACAGAGGTAGGAGAGATGGGTGGGTCTGGATAATTGAAGACCCCCATGCAGATTTCAAGTCGGGGTGCGGGTGGGGGCAGATTCTGGTTTTGCTGAGAGCCCCAGCCTGGGCGCCCCCATCTGACCCTCCGACCATCACAGATACAGATACGAAATTAAAAATATTCGTGGGATTTAAACATCAGTCTCATAACATGATCACATCCCAGGCCCAGAAACCGGGGATCAGGGTCTCCATGGCTGGAAAAGCAAAGGTGAAAGCTGAACCCCCAAATGTCAACAGAGGGGTGCTCCCTGGGGGGGTCACGGTCACACAGTCTTTTGTGCCCTTTTTATAGTCTTCCAGCTCCATGATCATTTTCATTTTTATAACGAGCATTGTGGGTTTCCTAGTCCAATAAGGAAAGCGTCCATTTTGAAGGAAGAGAGGTGGACTAGTGGCCGAGAGAAGGAGTCCCCTTCCTCAAGCTGCCTCAGGACCCCCTGGGCTCCCAAGTCTTGACAGGCCGTCTGGACCCTGAGAATCAGCGCCAGGCAGACGGGGTCTGGCTCCCCGAACAGGCTGTGCTCACACTGGGAGACTGAGCAAAATTTTCCAACCTCCAGAAGGAGAGAGGGAGGTGGCCCCCTAGAACCAGAGGACCAGCTTCCTCGCCACTGGCCTTTTAGTAATTAGTAAAATAGAATTGAGCCTGCCAGGGGGCGGGCTGGTGGCTGGAGCCTGATCGATTTTGAATCATTAGGCAAATTGACGGCCAGGGAGGGGTGAGCTGGATGGGGGCAGGGTGCCCCCCATTCTCGACTCTCTGGGGACCTTAGTCACCGTCGGGGAAGCTCTCCCACCTCAGCATCCCCTCAAGGAAAATTGGAATTTGACCCCCGGAGCCCGAGTCTGCACTGGGGGTGTGTGTGGGGGGGAAGGGGTGCCTCGCAGGGCTGGGCTGCTCCTGGCCGATGCCCACCCTCTCTGTTCCAGCAGCCCTGGCAGAACTGAAAAGCGCAGTCTCAGTCTGCGAACCCCGAGGCTCCGAGCGCCCAGCGAGCAGTAGGAGGACCCACTGGGGTTCAGGCCTCCTCCTCTCCCTGGAGGCTCAGTCATCCCCACAGCTCCTATTGTCAAAACCCACCCTCCCCCAGCTGGAATCTTTGCTCAGTTCCCGCCACCCCCCCTCTTCTAGGACAGGCCGCGTTCCCTGTTCTGGTTCCCGCATCCAGGGTGGGGGCGAATGCACCTGAAGTCTTTCCTTTCTGGGCCTCTCCAAAGCCCCTCCACGGCTGGCGGATCCTGGTTCGATTCGTCTCCCATGGAAATGCAACTCGCCGGCCGCTGCGCACCCCTTCTTTTATTAGAGCGAGGTTTTAATAGCTAGTGCCGACTCACGTCCCCCAGGCTGAGCCCGAGCCCCGCGGGCCCCAGCTCCAGCCCCTCAAACCTGCGACGCCCCACAGCCTCGCGCCGCACACACCTGGCGGGGCCACGTTCTTCTGCGCAGCTCTGGCTCCTTCGCTCGGGCGGGGTCAGAGGACTTATTGGGATTTGGGGGGGAGGGTGTTAGGGTTTCCCGGCCTGGCGGGGGTCCCGGCGAGGCTGCGCGCCTGACGCCCCAAGGTTTCCCCATCTGGACGTCGGGCCGCGGGGACGTTCCCAGCGCCGAAGCTGCGGCTCAGCGACGTTGGGGTTTCGCCCCTGGCGGGCCAGTCGTCCCAAGCTTCCTGCCCGCGGTCTGGGGGCGCCGGGTCGGGCGGCCCCGCGGGTTAGACGCTCCAGCGGGATTGTTGGCAACAGCTGCGCGGGATCGATCCCCGCGCCCGCCCGGGCTCCGTCGCCTCCGCCGCGCTGCGCGGCTCCATCGAATCCTCATCGCTCCGGGGCCGTGCTGCCCGCCGCGCTCTCGGCAAACACGGCGTTTGTTTGCGCTGGGGCACCGGGGCTGGCCGTCCGCGCGGGCGGGGTTTGTGTGTCTGGGGGCCTCGTACTTGGTCGTCTCCCCCAGCTGCTGGGCCTCCGCAGGGCCGGACTTGGAGGGACACAGTCAGCGGAGGAAATCCATCCCCTCCCGCCCCACCTTTACGCGGGGTGGGTGGTCGCAGGCCGAGCGGGCGCTGGGGGCCTGGACGGCGGGCTTTGGCCCGCACTGCTCAGCCCACGCCTCAGTTTCCCCATCTGAAGGGGGACACTCATGCTGGGGCATCGCAGGGCCCTCGAGTCTGCTCGCTCTCCTCCCGCTCCCTCTGCCCGCGTTCGCCTCCTCTGCGCGCCGCGCCGCGGGTCCAGGGCGGATCCCCAAGGGTGAAAACGCGGCGAGACCCAGCTGGAGGCGCAGCCAGGAAGAGCTGGAGACACGAATGAGCCCCCGGCCTCAGGCCCTCAGGACGAATGAGCCCCTCGTCCTCCCGGCCGAGATCGCCCCCACCCCCTTGAGGTCAGGAGGAAACTAGGAGTCTGTCCCGAAGTTTGCCTTTGGGGACACCGAGGCTCGGCAGGGCAGGGCGCGACTGCGCTTCCCGAAGGATGGGGAGGAGGGCGGCGCGCGCGGAGGGGCCCGGGGACGCCCAGGACCCAACTCCGCCGACCGCGCCAGTCGGGCACCGCAGGCCGCGGACTTCCCGGGCGCAACGAAACCCGCATCTGGCGCCGCGCTCCAGAGGGGCCCTCGCGCCACCCCCACCGCGAAGCTCCGGCCCCTGGCAGCTGAGTGCGACCCCCGCCCCCTCGCGGCCCGAGCGCCCTCTGGCCCGTCCAGGGAAGGAGGCTCTGACTATTAAAAACCTAAATATGTGTGTATTTCATCCACAACGCTCGCCTGGGTAGAGAGGCGGCGGGCGGACCCTGGAGCCTGGGGCCGGTTTGCGGAGGCCCCGAGCTGGGGATCCGGCCAGGCTGCAGCGGCGCTGCCACGGGAGGGGGGGAACCGCCCGGCCCGGGGTCCCCGCCGCTGGCTCCGCGGAGCCCGAGCGCGCCGGCTTGCACACCCCGGGTGTCCCGCTCCGGGCTCGGGAGCCCAGGACGCAAAGGCGTAGGCTTGGGCAAGCGCCCACTTTGCAGACGCGGAGACCGAGGCTCCAGCCCGGAGTGAGGACCCCGCCCTCGGAGCGTCCAGCTCCTCCGCCCCAGGTGACTTCCGGCTGGGAACCTGG